TAATTACATTACTCACCTTCTGGAGAGTTGTTTAAATCCTTTGTCACCAACTCTTCGAAGGAGCAGTCAGAGTGACACAGGACAACAAGACCCAGCAGACAAACACGCACATACAAAGAAGTCTGGGAGGAAAAATAACCTGTGATCATGGTGTGTCATATAGCACCTTGGTGTATCAATGCATTTCAGGTGAATCTTATCATTATTTTTTTGCACGGAAGAAAGCTAGTATTTTGTGGAAAATGTATTTTCTTTTGATGTAGACTACACTGTAAGATATGAAGTGTTGAATTAACTTAATTATGTCACAAAATTGAATCGCTTAAATGTACAGTAATATACATCCAACCATCGTTAGTACCTGCTTGTTCGCATGGGGTAGAGCAGGGGTCGGTGCATAACTCCAGCAGTCTTCAGGCGGGGACAGATTGCCAGTCTGTCTCTGAGACACAGGACAAACAACCATGCACACACACACACACACACACTCACCCCTAAGGACCATTTAGAGAGACCAACCAACCTACAGTCATATTTTTAGACTGTGGGAGTTAGCTGAAGTTTCTGGAGAGAACTCGCAGGTGCACAGGGAACAGGGAAGCTCCATGCAGAGAGGCCCCAGGCCGAGACGTGAACCCAGGGCGTCGTTGCTGGAAGACAACAGCGCGCCACTGTGCAGCCTCAGAAATATACATTGTTGAGTAAATGTTTATTTCTAGCGATGCACCGATATGAAATTTTAGGGCCAATCCGATATCCGATATTAAGATTACTGTTATGGTCGATAACCTATATTTGCTGATATCGATAAACTGACATTAATGCTTCTAAAATCAGCAGATTTTGTATAGAATGAAAATTATTAAAGCTGAATTTACGTTATGTACACACACCGCACACATTTACGGTTCTGAAATTATTTCATTCACTGTCACATGACTAAACAAATACACATCATGGAGACGAGATGGAAAAAATATCGGTTGTTAATATCGGCCCGGTTTTATTTATCGAACCAATACCAATGTAGCGTTATGAATATGCCATTTCTGCCCTTAACAGCTGCCCTTTGACACAGTGACAGTGTGCATAAATTGCCAAGGTCGTGCGCTTGCTTCTGGTGTTTACATTCCAGTAAAGAAGACAGAAGAAGGACGAAGAATGCTTTTCATTAGTTAATCAAAGAACTTTATTTCTAATAAAGCTAATCAAAACAACTGTTGGTCAATAATAATCAGGTGACCGATCTGTGAAATCACAATGTTATGATTTATGTGTTTAATGAATAACAGGACTTGGGCTAACTGAGCTAGACATACTGATCCACATAAGGTAAACACACAAAACATTGTTCACTCATCCAATCAGAACTTCCTTTCTGATGGGTGGCAGAGCTCTGTGGTGTTTAGTTAATCTGTCCACTCTGATTCGCTAAGAATCATAAACAAGTACGTTAATAAAACAGAACAACGCCATTTTAATTCTGTTCCACCGCAAGTTCCAACGTGAGTTCAACGTAGTTCTACTCGGTTCAACGCAGTTCCAACCAAGTACTCGACCAGCTCTCAAATCCATCTGATGTCCACCATCGCTAAGTGAAGTACAGACTGGCCAGCTGTATTTTCTGCTTTTAAGCTGAGAACTGTAAAGCTGGAAAATTCTGTTGTTTTATCAACAAGACGACGGTTCCTTCAGAATAAAAGCTGAGCTCTCTGACCCAAAAGGGGGGTCTCTACGTGACGCTGAAACCTGCCGTTGTACCGGGAGACTATTCATAGACTGGTTTGTCGTGCTGCCGATGCTGTTTCACCAGTTCCAGCACAAGGAGGGTCCGAGGACCTGGCATCCGGATCTAACACGGAAGTCTCCGCACGGTACGTAGATCGGCATAGATTGCGTCTCATGTCTTCCTCCTGAAGTCCATCGTCGGTCAGTTAGGGCAAACAACATCTTGCACTCAGACTCGCCTCCACCAGATGGAGATTCTGAACTGACACACACACACCAACACTTCAGCATTACATCCATCTGCATCCATCATTAGAGAGTTAGTCCTGGTGATTGTTTCAAATAATTATGAAATAAACATTCTTAAACGTCCCATCTCTCTCTCTTCTTGTCTCTAATTCAATACAAGGTGTTTGAATAAAATTCCCTGTAGTAAAAACAACCTCTTTTGATTCTAAGGGCCCGGTCCAAAGATTAATGATCCAGCCCAGGTTTGGATCGGTGATATCTCTGAACCTTAATAAAAATGTAAGAATATACCAACTATATTCCGCTACACCAATATGTTAAAAAATGGCTAACATCGGCCAATACCGATATTGATGCTGATATATTTTCCATCCCTGTTTATTACTGTTTACATTTAAGAAACTTGGTTTAGTGGAACCAGTTGACATTGGTTGGTTATTTTTGAAAACGTTCAGTCACTCTGAGTTTAACGTGCAGGCTCCCTGCCAAAAAAACAGCGTATGTTGTATTTTGGATGTTGGTATGCAGGTCCATGGGATGATGTTTACTGGATTCCGATAAAGCGTGCTAGACCAGCATCATATCCTGGACCAACATGCTGTAACAGAATCCAATTAACATGATCCCATGCTGGACTAGCATCCCATGATGGACCAGCATACCAAAAAAACAACATCCTCTGTTTTTTTCCCAGCAGAGCTGAATGTGAAAATTGTGCCTCACGTCTGTCTCCTGCATTAGTTTCTGATAGAAAATGATGAATCTCTATGGATTTGAAAAGGCTGAATGCTCTACTATTGCTTGGACTCACCCATCTTGACAAGCGACAGGGAAGGTTGTTATTGGTTTAGCATCCAGCAAACAGCAGAGAACATCTCAAACAGCAAAAGCTAACCGTTAGCATTAGCAACTCCACAACATGGCAGAACTCTTCAGTCTTGCATAATTTGTGGAGTTTAAACATCAATGTTGCAGAGTAAATGGAGTCAGTGGTAGAGTCGTGTTGCTGTTAGACAATCAATGGCAAGATGTCAGAATATCAGGAAGACTCCAAATCCTGCCGTCTGAAGCTAATTTCTCTTCCAGCGGAATCCTCCGTGCTGGAACACGTGGACCGGAGCTCCCACACCTTACAAGGCATTCATTCCTGTAACGTCCAGCAATGGTCAGTTTTTAGGTACAGTTGACCATTCAACATCTGGTCAAAAAGGAGACACGAGACTGCATGTGTCCCCTTTAAATCAGCCTGCCTTTATCCCACCAGCTGGAGATCAGAGCCTGCAGCTCTGAACATGATAACAAAATGTCAACAATAATGTTCTCTCCTCAAGGTCCAATCTTTCAGGATTCTTCATGCCTCCATATAAGGAACACTCGCAGTCCGGATTTCCTAAATCAGATATGAACTTCTACAACCTATAAGCTAGATTATCATTAAATAAATGTTTGTTTATTGCTACTTATAATAATTATATCATGAAATGTTTCATTAATCTGTGCTCAATGATTGAAGTTTGAAGTGAATGTAATGTTATGATTACAGTGATTGAAATATGTTTCAGTATGTTTACATGACAAGGTCATCACCATTTGCACTCACACAAAGACAAACTAAGGTTAAGTTAAACACTTGACACATAAATAGTCCCTTACCCCAGATCAGAGCCTCCGGTATCAAAGAAGGTGTGTGTTTCTGAGATTCTTGGTAATATTCCTCAACTTGTCAACCTCTAGTTGGCTACACAAATCATAACATGAGAACATTAAAACCAGATTACTCTGGTGATTCCTCAGTTCTAGAGAAAGCTTCAGACCAGCCATCTGAAGCAAAACCCTCTTTAACCAAAAAAAAAATCAAAACTTTTGACAAGTCGTCAAAATATATTTGCACCTGCAAAGCTGATAAAGCAAACAGTTCCTGCAGAACAAGCTGATATTGTTTAGACTCCTTCAGAGTCCCAGACGCGCGGTTCCATCCATCTGTCGTGACCAGAGACATCTCTGGACTGGAGAAGTTGGTGGTCAATCTACTGGACCTTCGGTGCCAGAGGTCATCCGACCTCTCTGACCTTCGAATCCACCAAGAGGGTCTCCAGAACGGGTGAAGTAGACACACAGATAGCGTCTGATGTGCTTTTGATAATAATCAGCTTCATAGCTTCTTTTACATCCAGAACTCAGCTCTCCTAGATCCGGAAGTTCAGACTAACATCGCATTCACACGTAGGTTTCAGACATCACATCTGGTTCCATCCATCACAGTAAATGCTTAGTTAACTTGTCATGTTTTAATTGTTGCTAAAATAAATTCTTACTTTTATAAACCCGACTGTTTTCTGAATCAAAACGAAGTGTTTACAATCCCCTAATAAAGAATCCTAGAATCTTCTGATTAAACACCGTAAAGACCAAGCAGGGTTGATATTCTATATTTAGAGTATCACAGCTTATTGGTCATAAGTAGAGGTAATATATATTGAGCTCTTAAAGTACTCAATTTACCAAACCCTACATTCCTACTATAGACCATCGCAAATGTCTAAAAAATGTGTGAAGGACCTGTTTAAATAAATTCAACAATACATTTATTAGTCCCTATATTCGTTTAAAATATGCATAAGATGTAATTTAAAATAAATTAATGTTAAAATTAAAAGTTACGTTTTAACTTTAACCCTCCCACTGTCTTTATGGTTGACCCCGCGAGGAAAGTTGGCCATTGAGCAGGATTGATGGTTTATCCATTGAGGTCTATGTGGCAGGGGTGAGGTGGTGCTCACTCCTCACCCCTGCCACATGGACCCAAGGGATAAACCATCAATCCTGCTCAATGGTCAACTTTCCTCGCGGGGTCACACCCATTAGGACAGTGGGAGGGTTAAGGGTTATTTGCCTGATCAGACACTAAAATTGTGATTTTAAAATTTTTGTTGTGTTTACAGTGTATTTATACAGACATGAACGTAATTCAAATCAAATACCTAGGTTTACATATAAACTCAGTAAAACAAATATAACCAGTCTACAAAAAGAACAACTTTATTAAAAATTCATGTTAACAATTACACCAAATACATAACCTCAAAGACTTGTGTGAGAAAATTCACCACTGGTGGTTAATATGAAGGTGAACAGCCCTGCAGATCTTTAATGATAATAATGTGTCAGATATTTATTTTTAAGGCGCAGAACAGGTGTATGGATTAAGCTGGATTTGCATTTTCAAGGCACAACTCTTTTGATGGAGTGGTTCACTTGGAATAAAGGCAACATGCTCCTCTTGTCTATTTAGACACATCAAAAATGTTTCAATTTGTAAACTTCCTAGCTGAAAAACCCGCAAAACCGACTAATAATAAGGCCAAAAATTAACGAATCATGTAAAAAATATATCATCTTGATCATCCATCATCCAAAGTAAACAATAAGTTTGTTCAAAAGAAGTAAACAAAATAATTTCCGATATGTTTTAAAAAAATAGCTTGAATTAAAAACAAAGATGAATTGTTTGCTAAGCTTTTCGTGAAGCAGTAGCTGGATGGCTGGCTGCTGGAGTAAGAGAGAGAGAGAGAAAAAGAAAAAATCTGTAAACTGCAACCTCAAAAATCTCATCTGCGACACTTAAAAAAAAGAGACTGTAAATGGTTTTAAAATCAAAACCAAGAATTATATAATTACACAAATAAAGGCATAACCAACAAGAAAACATCTTATTCCTTTCTAGGAAACTTAAAACAACACTTATCTTTATTTTTTCTTTGGTAGAGTGCACATATATTAAAAGAGCTGTGGCATTATCAAACTGCTAATTTTAACCAGAAGGCAAACAAATAAAGACCCTTTACTTGATACAGATGAAGACAAATGCATTTAATAAGTTTAAAACATTTTTATGTTTGACTATTGCAGCCGTGTCTTTGTCATCCTATTAGGGTTTTCATGAAGGCGGGTTTGTTGAAAGGCCAGTGGTACTGGTTAGGGACAGGTCCGTTCACATTGCACTCAAAGAAGGAGAACATGGGGAACCAGATGCGGGCCCTGCGGCTGTGCTGGTAGGCACGAGTGTTGGCTAAAGTGTGGTAGTAGAGGAAGAGGCGGGTGGTGATGTAGAAGGCGATGAAGACGTCGATGGAGTAGTGCTCATGCGCTGCCAGGATGAAAAATATCCCAAAGAGGTTCAGCACCCAGGAGATGGTGTGAATCAGATTCCAGTTTCGAGGCGTGTCTGCCAAAGTAGGAAATTTTTAAAATAAATATTAAAGAACAAGTTTTTCTTTACTGCACATTTAAAGACAACTCGTTTTGCAGTGGTCTCTAAAATAAATGAAGGTCTTGTGATATCTGTGGGACTAGAACTGAGCTGAAGACGGTCTTGTTTTGTGATATTTGAACAAATTGCCTCTGATTAGCTAACAGCAACGCGACTCTACTACCGACTCCGTTTGCTCTGCAACGTTGATGTATTATCTCCACAAATAACACAAGCCTGAAGGATTCTGCTTTGTTGTGGAGTTGCTAATGCTAACGGTTAGCTTCTACTAGCCAAGATATGCGCTGCTTTTCCCGCCACGATGGGTGAGTCCGTGAATGCTAATGTCTGACGAGGTACTGACTGGCTTTTCAAATTTGAACGTTTTTCTGTCTATTTTCTATCAGTGGCTAATGCAGGAGATAAGGCTTTGGGTTTTTCACGTTTTTTAAATCATTTTGACAGACCATATTTTTTAAAAATAACAAGTTATAAACAGTTTCTCACTTAACTTGGTGTTTAACTTTTATTAATTATCTCAATGTGGAGTTTACCTTAAATGTATTTAAATTTACAAGCTTTATGATTTGAATTTACTTTTTTTCCACTTTAAAATGATCAGAAAGTAAATATTTAGTTCATATTTTTGACTTACATTGGCTAAAACGTGCAGGAACCATTTTGAAAAACACAGAGGCTGTGTAAATAATTTAAACCACATACTTTAGTCAAACATTTGCATTATTTATAAATGCAAATCTAATGAAAATCTAGTGTTTTCAATGACTTCTTTCAAAATGTTCAAGACCAAGTTTCTGGGAAATGGAATAATATGCAAAACAAAAATGATTACGTATAAATGTTTATTGAATTTGGATCATCAACAAGTTTCTGAATAATTCTTGATATTTATTTTTTGGGGCTATATAGACAGAAATGCTAAAGTTAAGAAAATGTTACCAATTTTTAAACATTTTTATTTCCATAGACTTACATTTCTGCTAGAAATGCTTTAAAAAGGTAGAATATGTTAATATTTAGCATATTTTATTTATGCGATGATTATCTATTCTGAAAGATTAAAAAATATTTGATGCATGGAGGGTGGAGCATTGTAGTAGGTGCCAATAAAGGCTAGCAATAGAAGATCATCCATCATTTTCACTTCTGGGATTCCTCAGATTTGTTCTTGAACCCTTAAATTATAGTTCTTTTAAAAAAGTCTGAATCGGCCCACATTTAGGGGAATAAAATAATTATTTCTCACATTCAGTCACAAAGAAGTTGAGCATCGTGATGACGACAGTGTGTCCACTGAACATGTAGTCCCCACAGGTTTGGACTCCTGTCAGCGTCATTCCAAAGCCACTCCATATCGTCAAAGCTCTCTGTATTTTCCCCCAGGAGTCCGCATAAGTCTGTAGGTACCCCCCCCCCAAAAAAAACAACCTTAAAATAACTCAGTCATGTAGTGGTGGCAGCTAAAAGAGCTACGCCCTTCCTACCTTGCTGGCACATTTCAGGTGCTGCCCAGGCACGGAGAGTGAGGTAGCAAACATGGTGCAGCAGCGAAGCAAAAACACTGTTCCCATCAACGAACACAGCCTTCTGAAGAGGATGGACCTGAATCACAGACGAAATGAGTAAACATGTTAGCTCTACTGCATTTGCTGCAAAAACGACTAAGGTGTAGCGAGACTACCTGTGTTTGTGAAGAAGCAGGATCAACAAAAACATGTAACATAGGATAAGGCCACAAGCCTCAGCCATTGCGAAAGCCCAAGGGATTCTGGGTACGCTATAAAAGAAGATAAAGACAACGTGTCGATTAGATATAGCAGCAGGAGAGTGACTCCTTTACTGATCATTTTAGAAGTTAAGCTGCTTGCCACCTGTCTAAGAATATATCAGGAAGCGGTGGGTATGTCCTCATGTCTGGGACACGTTCGTGGACGATGACCATAACAAAAGAGGTGAATCCAAACACAAGAAACACGTATAATGAGCTGATGATGGTCTTCCACACCTCCGGATCTAAGCGGCCAGCCAAAGGCTGATGACACTTCCCATTGGAGTGGGTTTGACACAACGACGCTCCAGGAACACATCCAGATCCATGATTGATCCGCAGCCGCGGCTCCGTCCCATTGCAATCACTTCTGTTGTATCGACTCTTGTCGGCTCTGTCGAAAGTCCACTCAGATCTTGATCTGCACGGCGAGAGTCCAGCAGGACGAGGGTCAGAAAGCCAGAGGCCTAGCTCCTCCAGCTGGGATTGGTTTTGGTTTTGGAGTCGGTGGAGGGCTACGGTCAGCCTTTTGATATCTCCCAGAATAGTGATGCTCAGCGGGGGGCAGCGTAGGTCAGCCTCAGTCAGAGCCAGCAGGCTGAGGCCATCAAGGCGGTGCTGTGTGCACATTTGCTCCACGTACTCCCCAAAACCCTCATCCCGCAGCCACCGAGCCACCTGATCACAGCTCCAGGAGCTCACACTGTCATCTGACTGTGCCATCCACCTGCTGCACACAACAGCACAGACAATATTAACTTGTGAAAGTTTAAACCACAAACATGTCACTAAATTTATAAAAGGAATCTATTCTGAGGAAAAACTTGGACTCTAAACCTATACACTGACTTTGCATTCAATTCTTTGCAAGCCAAAAACCAAAAGGACTTTTCTGCATGACTTCTCTCACTCAACTTGAACTAAACGGATCAGTTTTTAAAACAAACCCCCTGATTTGCATCGAGCACCCAAATTTCACCCTTTTTTAAATGATGAAAGAATTGATCAGTCCATTTGCAGTGGTCTCTAGTAGAAATGAATGCCATGTAAGTCGTACTTGGGGGTGAAAAAACACTGGTGAACAATTTCTAGGATCTAGAAATGAGCCACATCAGAGCTGATTGATTATAAACAGAAATAAGATTTTTAAATGGGTTTTCAGGGTTCCACACCTTTAAAGAATAAATAAAGTGAGTGAAGATGTGGCAGAGTAGCTAATACTTAAGTTTACATCCTGTATACACACACAACACTGAGTCAAACAAAAACAAACTACTGGCCTCTACTTTCTGTAGGTGCTGTGTCATATTTGTGTGAAAATATGTTTCTGAAAAAGTTCGTTGAACTTCCAGAATTCACAGAAAAAGAACAGCTTTAAATCAACATTTCTCCTGCAAACAGACCCGATATCCTTGAATCACTTTTTCAATGAGGGTTTACCCCCACCCCACCCCATCATTTTTGCCCTTTGACCTTCCTGATAAGCTGACCTCGATATTGCTGAGCCTGAACTCCTCACTGCTCCATAGGTCTGCGCACTCCAACAACATGACTGTAACACTGCTGACTTCTCCAGATTAGCAATGGCCTGAATTTGAAAAAAAAAAAAAACTTTTTTATCTTGAAGGTTCAATTAATTGGCAATTATCCAAAAACACATTTTTCTTAAACTAAATAATGTTATTTCATTTGTGTTGTGAATGAGCCATTCAAATGTCTTTATTGTTCAGGGAATGAAATTATGACCAACATTTATTTACAGCTGAGAAGTAAGCAGTAATTTTCAAAACTGATGTATTTTTTTTCTTTTTGGGAGGGGGCACTTTGTAATGTCATTTTTTAAACATCCTCATGTTTGACAAATGAAAGACCTGAAAAAAAGCTGCAAAAGTTAAAATATCTGAACTTAAAAGGGTCATTTGAAACTTTAAACCTAAAATACTGACAGACTGAATATCTTTATTGAAATTAAAAACCTGATTTAGGTTGAATCTGTTATTACGTTTTATAAAATGGCTTGAATTTCCATTATAGCGTTTTTTCTTTATAAATCACTTAATTTTATCTATAGTGTTTTTTTCTTTATAAATTACTTTATTTTAATTTGTGTTTTTCTTTATAAATGACTTAATTTTATTTATAGTGTTTTTTTATTTATAAATTACTTTCTATTAATTATAGCAGTTTTTAAAAAAAAATTCATTTTACTGCACTGATTTATTTTATACCTGGATCAACCAACGGAGTAAACAAAAGTATTACATGTTAGAATATGTTTTATTATTTACTCATTTGACAGCTCCACATGCTTATAAAAACACCCTTGTATCACTGATGCAAATGATACGAAAGCTGATCCAGTAAATAATCCTCACAGTCTGCCACGCAGGTTGAGCAATAAGAAACATTTACATATTTCAACTATAAACTAACTCACCAGCTCAGCCGCTCCTCTCTTCCCATCAGAGAAACCAGTTATTTTTGTTTTAGCCTCTAGATTCGACTGGCTTCCTCACTGGCCGAGGCTTATTAGAGTGCCATGTCAGCTCTTCTGACCAGTGAGTCACACAGCTGAGAGACAGAAGGCTCGACTACGTTTACATGCAGCCAATATCCGGGTTATGATCGGGTTAAGGTCGGTATTCGGGTTTCTGAGTTGATCAGAATAACCCGTTTACAAGCATAAATAGAAAGATACCCCTAACTTGCAAAACCCGATTTAAATGCGGACGTTGGGGTAGCGTCAGGACGTATGGACTACGTCAAGACGCAATATGCGTCATATTTCGCTGTCTCTGTACTTTCGGCCGTCAACAAAAGAAATAATGTTCATACTTTTCACCAGACCGATGAAGACAGGTTTCCTCGTCACTCCAAAAGTGTGGTGCTGTGCCGCGACTCGCCATGTTGCTCCCAACCTGTTGTTTACTTCCGGTGTTCTGGCGCATACAAGACGTCTCGCTACTCAAAAGACCGAGATTGCTTGCGAACAGAGCATGCGCAGAACACACACACTTTGATGGGGATATCCCGTGTGTGAGACAAAGGGCGTATAGAATCCCTACTGTTCTCAGGAACTGGATCTCATCCTCCCCTTCTCCGCCCTCAGCCATGCCTGTCAAGGAGCCTCCTCAGACTCTGGAAGCACTCTCTACCCCCTCACTCATCCACCCCTCTTCCTCGATGCACCCAGCAGTGCGGATGAGGGAGCGGACCGAGCTGCCGGTGATGAGAAAATAGCGCTTCTTTTTCAAAATGTTCGCAGACTGACACAAAATGACGCATGCTGGTGGAAAGGAACGCAAAAGTAGGGATGAGTTAAGTCTGCAAACAGAATTCTTTAGTTTTGAGAAGCATGGATTTCTTTTAGTTCAGGGCTTAAGATTTCATTTTCTTCTGAATTTAATTTTTGCCGCTTGAGATTTTAATTAAATCCCAATTTATAAAAACCTACTGCCATATGATCAATAAAAACCCCACCATTCTGATTGCATTAATGTAACCCATCAGTAGATTTAGAATCACGTCCAACAAGCTCCTGAATTATTAGTTTTCATACAAAATTACGTACAAATAAATGATCAACCAGGTGATTCTGCGTTTTGTTTTAAATTTATAGGTGCCTGACACCTAGTGGCCACGGGAAGAATCTAAGGCAACTTTGCACACAAATGGTATATCTTTTGGCAAGCCGTTGGTGAATATATTAGTTATCCTCAAGGGCCATATTATGGTAGTAGTTTGTGATGTCACTGCAAAAGTTGACCATTAGATTCCACGCTAGTTAGAAAGCAAAATCACCTATGAAGAAGTCTGCCAACAAATGACACTTTTGTTCAAATATTAAAGGCACAATTCGTAAAATGACACCGTCAGGGTGAGGAGGAGGAGATTTTTAAATTCGAACGGCTGTTGCTCACTCCCCCGCCCTTCCTGAAAGAGCCGAAAGCCACACCTCATGTGCACGCGCAGGAAAAGCAGAGTCAACACCAGAGCAGCATGGGAGGCGAGAAACGACCGCGATCAGCGAAATTTGTCGCTGTCGCTTTTATTACCTGTCACACGGGAGGCGATCCGCGGCAGCGGCCAGCGGCAAAGCCGTCTACGCGTTCTGTTCCATTGCGAATTTGAAACTTCCGTTGTTTTGTTTGGCTGTGTCAGGTTGGAGGGAATTAAGGTTATTTAAGTGGTTCAGAGTTAAAAAACGTGGTAGATATGATGTTTCACAAGGTGCTGCTAGAGTTATGTGAAATCTTACTTCTGATTTTACTATATAAAAAATAATAATAACAACTCAACTTCTCCATGTTTGCTTGGAGATGTGCGGAGCATCCTGTCCGCTCATTGGTCAGTGAATGAAACCTCCGTTGATTGGTCCTCGTCCGAGCTACAGCGATGAAAAGTTGAAAATGTTTCAACTTTCTGGGATCGCGTCGCTGGGTCGTACGTGCACGACACGTGCACGAGTGCAAACTTTCACACGCACGTTTTTCGCGTTTTGCTTAGTAGGAGAGAGACCCGCGATTATCGCTTTGTCGCGCATGTCTCATTGAAAATGAATGGTGGAGAGGCGATGTCGCCTCCCGTGTGTCGAGCCCATAATAGAGCTGAGCTAGTGTTAGCAATGGAGTTATCTGAGGTAAGAAAGTTGTTTTTAACCAGCACATTAAACACTTACTGTTTACAAAAGGCATTTTATAAAGAATATCTATAAATATATTTATACTTTAAAATACCAGTAACAGTTGACAATGTATATTGTAAATAAAATTAATCCTATCAAATTGTTAGCATTTATTACGAGTAATTAGCTTATTTTTAATTGCTTTGCCATTCAAGATGGGATGAATATATCAAAGCATATAAATAATTTATGTGGAAATCATGAATAAACACTGCATTCTGTGTAGTCCTCCTATAATCATGGTTGTTTTCATAGGGTTTCTGTTTATTGTTGGTTTAGCACAAATTTTGATTAGATGTAAACCTGATCTGTGTCAAAATTGATTAATATGCATGAGTACTTTTTACATTAGTATAATTTTTTTTATTCTAATACAATTTAGAGTTCAGTGATTGAGGAATCCTCTGAGGAAGAGTTTGAACCTCCCATTGCATCCTCAAGACGTGGTGCAAAAAGGAGATGCCCACCATCATCTCAAAGCCGTGGTGCATCCAGAGGCAGCGGTGCATCCAGAGGCCGAAGAAGTGCGAGACACTCAGCTGTGGACCTTGGAGATGAAGATCTCTCTCGAGTTCGGAATCTTCGTTCCGAGCGAATAGACTTTGAACGTGTAAGCATAAAAAAATTACACTAAATTATCCTAAAAACTGTTGCTGTAGCTTCTCTTTCCACTTTTGTAGCAACACATACAGAACCTGAACCCTCAGCAGGCTATTGACATCCTTACCATGGTGCTGGACAGAGACCCTGGTGTTCTCTTTGATGTACTTGCCCTCTCTGGTCCACCTGCCACAACACCTCCAACATCCAATCAACCTTCATGGTGTGTATGCTCCCACTGCAGAGATATGCCAACTGATTTGGAAAAGAAATGCTGCCAACAGCCTCCCCAGACATGTATTTCAACTGTACCACACATGGAGGAGTTTATTCCGCAAAATGGTGTTCTTCGCCTGGCCAGAACATTGTGGAATGAGTTTTGAGCGGTTTATGATGACCCGGACCCTGGTGAGGACAACAGACAGTTCCGCCATGCAGCTTACAGACAATTTGTAGCATGGCAGCATGGAAAACTTGGTGGAGGGCGCAGAGTAGTAATCCTAAGCTGTGGTCTGGAGGATAAGGGAAAAATTCCCTGACCCCAATGGAAACTACACTGGTTTTATTCCAAGACGATTGTAAATAAATGTATATATTTGATATTTTACATAAGTTTGTTTTTTATATATTTTTGTTTGATGCTCTAATAAAGTGTTCTAAAGCATAACTCTGTGTTATTTGTAAAAATACCGTAAATTTTAAAACTCCTGCACAACAACAAAAGCTTATGTCTACCTCCAGCATTTTACATACATTTTTAAATTATTAGTCCTTATTTCCCCAAAATACATCTTTATTTAAAAATAAATAAATAAATAAAACAGAGGAAACAAAAATAAAGAAGGTTTTGGGTTTTCTCTTGCCTCCCCCAACACCTATGTCTGTGGCAAAGTTTTACCTGTAAATAAAAAATAAACTCAATTAGCAATAGACTATTGTGTGGAAGATGTAAGGCAGATAATGTTTTATTTTACCATCACCGCAAGTCCGTAGGTGTTGTAGAAGTTCCTCTGTTGATGGTGCAGGGGCTCTGGACAGCAAACCGTAACGCCTTGGATCCTCAAGCCTTAGCTTGTAGCGTCGAGGAAGACCTTTCTTGCTTGTCAAACGTTGGTTGACGATCATGGTTTGGATCTCTGGGATGTAGGAGTAGTCTTTTGCCACCTTCTCAGAATACAGCCTCCAGCATCTAGATTTTTTGTTGAATATTTTATGGTATCTGAAATGACACATGCCATAACTTGTAGTAGAGCCCTGCACTGTGTGTGCCCTGCACTGAAGCCCTAGGCCCTCGGGTCGGCCCAGCTCTTCATCATCATCATCATCTGCCACAGAGGAAACCAGCGAAAGCTTCTCTGAGGGCTTCTCCGTGGTACTGAGGCCTCTGAAGGCGTTGGATGGAGGAGTAAATGATGACGATTTTAGTACTTCCTGTTGAGGTGCGAGGCTGAAAGCAGGTAAGTCTGCTGGCACTGACACCTAACAGGAAAGAAAAGACTTGTTAGTGCTGAAAATCTTAAAAGTGAAGCTTATTAGATATGTTAATTATATCAAAGTATTTTCAAAGCTGGAAATCTCAATATTGGGGTTGAGCATCGATTGGAACCGGTTCAAACTGTTTGTTTTTCCTGGAATCGTTCAAAGTTTTTTTTTCCGATTCCTGGTTTCGATTCCTAGAACGCCGACCAGAAGAGGAATCCGCAGCCGATCTCCGTGAAAAATAAATGTGATCTGCAAATTGTTATCAATGCTTTTCAGAGCTGATCACACCTGTCTGTGTACCCCCCACCCGGCGTGCAGCGGTCAAATATAAACAAACAAATTTTTAAAAATACCACAAACAGAAAAAATACATATCATCATCCCTTTTTTCCTTCTTCTCTGTCTGAAAAGGAGTAGGCTGAAGTGGAAACTTATATGTCCCTACCCCTTTATACAAGTAATTTTTACTTGTATAGTAAATCTAACACAAAACCTACATTAAAACAAACAAAATGGTACAAGTCACCAAAAACGCAATGAAAAAAAAAACAGCCATAACTCGATGTGGAGCAAAAAGCCACTAGTTGTGATCAGTTTGTTTGGGTGCGGCTCACTGATTTGTTGCTAAGACTTG